GACACCACTCGCGGCCACTAAGCCCCGGCAGTGGCTGGTCCATCGGTCGCCATCACGATCTGGCACCAAGGCCATGATGTGGAAATCATACCACGTGCCGTCCGGGCAATTGTCCTCGGTAGTGGCGTCGCCCGAGTTCTGGCCTTGGTTTTGAGCCTGCGAGAGCCTCGTGAAGAGTTCGAATGTCGACCCCTGTGGTACGACCAGCGGCGTACTGATAGAGACGTTGCGAATGACGTAACTCTTGTTGGCAACATGGCCAGGCCCAAGCCGATGAACAGCTTCACCCGCCATGGCGACGAAGCCGGCGGCGGGAAAGACTACCTGGCCGTCGATGACATGGTGGCCCAGCCATGCGGGCTGGTCGTCGGGCTCCAGAATGCAGCGCCAGCATGGCTCGAGGTCGGTGGCGTCCGGAACCCGGGAGCCAAGCAGCTCGTGACGGAGATGCCGGGCGCTCTTGTAAACGCTGGCCACGCGTGGCGGATCCAGATACTGCGTGCCGTGATGCCACGCATAAGGAGGCAGGTCGGTCAGGCAATGTGGAGCAGGAGAGCCAGAACCATCTGGCCTGAAGATGGATTCCATGTTCGCCTCCGTGAGAGCCCCGCGGACGAACAGCTCCCCCACCGTTCGTAGAAGGGCCTCGTCGGACCTTTCGCCCCGGTGCAGGGTCGCGATGTGCAAAGCTTGTGGCTCCGATGTCGTGGACAATGACGCCTCCAGTGCCGACAAGGTCTCTACGATAGGCTTTCTGAGTGCGGGATGAGGCCCAATTTCAAGCAGGAGGAGCTGGCTGTTGTTGGCATTGGTGTTTGCCGGGTTGTTGGGCGAGCTCTCGCAGCTAACCAGCTGTTGTAGAGCCTGCCGGAACAATCTGCATTCAAGGTCAGCTAATCCTTGCTTAATAAAAGTTCGTTTGTCCGTGTGATTATCATTGACACAAGGAAAAAAACGTGTGGCTTACACGGGCTTCTCGAGACTGTCTCGCCAGTATCGCGCGCTTCCCACCAGCTTCGCGGCGTCTTCTTCGAGGGACCCAGAGATGCTGCTATACAGCGAAGGCGAATACGAGGGCCTGGCGCTGGTCTCTAATCCGTCGAGAAACGGTCTGAGTCGCTCCTCATACTTGAGCGCGCTCGGCCCGACGTGATGGGAGTGGAAGGCCGTTCGGACCCGGAGCGCGTGGCAGCGAATTCGCGCATCCGCCTGGGCAACTTTTCGAAGGGTCTCCTGTACCGCGTCTGCATCGCCAGAAACGGTAGTGCTGCTCGGACTGTTGTGACAGGCAACGACAGCGCCGGGACTGAGAAACTTTTCAGTCTGCGCGGCTCCCAAGCTAATTGTAGCCATCATGCCCGGCTGCCGCGGCCGCGCCTTGCCGTTCTCATTCCGCACCTCATCCAGTACCATGCCGCGCAGATAGGCTATGATGATGGCCTTGCGGGCTGAGAGGACGCCTGCCGCATAGGCCGAGGCGACTTCGCCGCTTGAGTGGCCGATGACGGCCGCGGGCAAGACGCCCCAAGCCCGGAGCATGTTGACCAGGCCGATCTGGACGGCGGTGCAGCATGGCAACGAGTACCTCGTCTCCTCCATGAGGCTGTCTGGAGCTGGTTTGGAAAGCTCGTCTGCATATTCGAGTAAGCGGCGAGTTCATTTCGGTTTGATGCTGGGACATGGACAGACGCAAAACCAAACCATGAAATCAAGCCTTCACTCCATCTTGAACGGCGCATTCCCTAACTCATAAAAACAAGCGAGCGGCTTACCAAAAAGGGTCCATTTGGGTGCCATAGTATCTGGCAGGGTCTTCAGGCACTGGTCCAGGTAGCGGATGCTATCGGCAAACACATTGGTATCCCGGAGCAGCTCGTAACCCATACGAGCCGACTGAGCGCCCTGACCTGTGAAAACAAAGGCAACGCGGGGCGGCGGCGTCTTGTCCTGAACCTGTCCGGAATGATCGGCGTCGATAAAACTCAGCAGCTCGCTCTCGGCTGCTTTTGTCTTGCCCGCGTCGTCGTTTTCGGGCTCTTGTTGCACTCGAACCACAGTATACGTCCGCAGAGGGAAGTGATGGCGTCGGCAGCCGAGCGTGTAGGCCAAATCATGGAGAAGGCTGTCCACGTCATGACGCGAGGCGGGCAGGCGTTCTAAAAGGTAGTTTCTATGGTTGAGGACCTGCTTCTGCAGCGACCAAGGGTGGGTGGCGCTGAAAAGTAGCAGGACGCGGGTCGCCTCGGTGGGAGCCCGAGTCGGCAGAGACTTGAACGGTCTGCCGTCTTCGACAATGACGTGGGAATTGGAGCCGCCTACTCCAAAGGAGTTGACGCTGACCCGTTTCTTGCGGCCGTCGGGCCACGGCAGAGGGTCGACTGGGACTCGGAGCTTGGCTGCCTGCCAGGGGACTATAGATAAGATGAGCTGCGTGGTCTGGAATGCGGAGAGAGGGGAAAAAGGAGATGGAAACGGAGATGGAGAAAGAGAGTGAAGGTCAAAGTGAAAGTGAGAGTGAAGGGGAAAGTCTAAGGTGAAAGTGAAGGTAAACGTAAGGGTGAAAGTGAGTATGAAGGTGGGAATGAGACTAAGTATAAGACTAAGGTCTAGAGTGAAAAGGGAAGCCAGCGTGATGGCGATGATGAAAGTGATAGTGAAAGTGAAAGTAAGAATGAAAGGAAGCCTGAGACTGAGATTAAAACGTACTGAGAGGGTTGGGCGTGTTGAAAAAGATATTGGGCGGTATTACGTCGTGCTCCAGCGACAGCACAGCCTTGATCAGGGCCGTCAGACCAGCCGCACCCTCTGAGTGGCCGACGTTGGGTTTGACGCTGCCAACGACAATGCCGTCGCGGCCAAAGACATTGGCGACGGACCGCATCTCGATGGGATCGCCAACGGCGGTGCCTGTTCCGTGACACTCGATCCACGCCGTGTCCCCAAATTGCGAGTCCGGGATACCCGCCAGGGCGTACGTCTTGCGGATAAGCAGTTCCTGCGCCGCGGCGTCCGGCTTGAGCTGCCCGACCTTGCGGCCGTCGTGGCCCGTGGCGCTGGCTCGTACCACCGCCCTGATGGGGTCGCCGGCCCGCTCTGCGTACGAGAGCCGCCGCAGAAAGACGGCATTGACGACCTCGCCGCGGCCGTAACCGTTGGCGGCCGCGTCGAAGGTTCTGCAGCGTCCCGAGGGGCTCAGGAGGCCCTGCGCCGTATACAGCAGCGTCATGAGTGGCGAGGTGATGAGGTTGACGCCCAGTACGACGGCGGCAGCACACTCGCCGGCACGGAGGCTGTGGCAGGCCATGTCGAGCGCCACGAGGCTGGCCGAACAGCCCGTCTTGACGACAATGCTGGGCCCCTGCCAATCCATGGCGAAGCTGACGCGGTTCGCCTGGAGGAAGTCGAGGAAGCCCGTTCCGCGGTACAGGCCGGCAAGTTGGCTGTCCATGACGTTCTCCTGGAGCCAGTCCTCACCGAAGACGCCGACAAAGACGCCGACATCCTTGCGAGCTGCCAACTCTGATGCCGTCTCTTTCGTGCCGGTGCCATTGCCGGATGTGGTGCTGGTGGTAGTGTTGCCGCCGAACAGATTCCGGGCGGCGCCAGCGTTCTCGGCGCACTCATAGGCAACCTCGAGGAGCTGGCGCTGCATTGGGTCCATGCGAGAAGCCTCTTTGGCACCGACAGGGAAGAAGCTGGGGTCAAAGTCTCCCATCGACACATGGTTGAGTAGGTACGCCTGCGGTGCCTGGAGGGTATTCTTGGCGGGCGTGTCGCTCTGGAAGCCGGCGGCGTCGAACCGCCCGGTGGCCGCGGGAGACCTTTCTTTGTCGCTGGTGCTGCGTGGCCAATCAACCAGCCCATTGCGCTTGGCCATCAGCATGTCCCAGAACTCAGCCGGGGTGCGCACCTCGCCGGGCAGGCGGGCGGCCATACCGCAGATGGCGATAGGCTCCGGGTGGGCGGCCGGCGCCATGGTCTATAAATGCTGAATAGATGTGAATGATTCTCTTGTTTGATGATAGCAAATAGCTGTGGATCGTAAGCAACCGATGAGTTATGGTTCTTCCAGTAGGCAAGTAGGACAATGGCAATTTAAGAAGACTGTGATAGTAGGCATGCGTGGTTACGGTCTGCCGAATTAATCATTTACGTCATGGTATGAGATGCAGTAGAAGTAGGAGTAGTATACTGTAGCCAGAGTATGATCTAGTAAAACCTTTACTCGTTGTTATTCTATACTAATAACGACGACGGAGCTATTGGAGATCCACACGGTGTGTTGATCGGAATAGCACCTCCTAACCCGACTACCATACTGTAGCTGGTTCCTCTCAAACGGCTGCCCGTTGATTGAGTTTGCTATGTATGCTTTTGCCTCCGCTGATACTCCGATAGGCCGGAAGTTTCTCAGGAACTACTTCTGGGGTGCCTATGCCTTTCTGCCGAGGCTACTTCGGGAGGGAAAATCTGGGAAAGTCGAAGAAAAATAGTCCTTCCGTGCATGGGATTTGTTTTGCGAACGCATCCAGCTACTGTGACATAATGTGTCTGTTCCAATCATGCAGTTGTGAACCGTAATAAGTGACATATGTACTCATTATTTAGTGTATCTAACTTCAATCTCACAGACAGAAACGGCTATAATCCTGTGACGTTCCGCCCATCTCTTAATATCGCAAGGTCTTCGGAGCTGTTAAGGTGCGTACATAGTCTATAGTAATTCGAAAAGCTTGGGTAAGATTGAAAATTATGTTTGGGCCCCTATTCAGGCATTCTTGATCTAGGCATGCTCCTGGGTCTACACGTGTTTGACTAGAACCCTCCTGTAACTGAAAAGACCAAACGCATCTACTTTTTCGCGTTGATAAGATTGAACCGACTTACAAAATGTTTCTATGGTCATTCAATCCATTTATAGCTCAATCACCACCCATTCCAGTCCTTATAGCAGGGCGTAGTCGCACACAATGAAGAGGAAGGGGAAAAGAGAAAACATCTCAGGGTAAAACAGTACGCCACAACCTGCCAAACGCCCCCTTGAGAGCAGCGCCTCCCCGGGCCGCGTCCACGCTGCGCTTTTCGTCCGCGGCCCACGCACGTAGGGAATCCCAATCCCGACACCACGCCTGCTGCGCGTCCGTGAGGTGTCCGGAGCCGAAGCCGTTGACGAAGGAAAGCGGCGTCGCGTCCGCGGTGCACTGCACAGCGTCCGCCAAGACGTTGAGGCAATAGGCCACGTGCTCGGGCGGCCAGTGCCAGACGCCGTCGTCGTCGTCATGTTCTCTCGTCTTGTTTCCGTTGGCCTTAGTCTTATGTACTACGTCTGTGATATTGGTCTCGCGGTGGATGCTAGTCCCGCAGGCTTCCAGTAGGACAATCTGCCACGAGATCAGACCAGAAGAAAAGGGGGAAGATGGGGCGTCAGCAAACGGACAAAGAAGACTGGCTTACTATGCAGCGCATTTGATACAGACCCCGTATGAAGTAGACTTGGTCTTGGCCCATGCTGGGCGGCGTGAACGTTGCCTGCAAGGTGGACGTGCTGCCGTCGTCATGGACCCAGCGGGCGTGGCGGCCGTTGATGCGCACCGCTGAAGCTGTCTCTCTTTCGATCAGAGCCTCTTTCATGATTGCCGGCCGTGATAGGGGACCGTCCGTCACTTACAGTGCATCCGTATCAGCCTCTCGACGGTCTCTCTCGTTCTGATCTTGCTCGCAAACACGTCGTCCGGTATGTGGTACGGATTGCTTTCGTTGCGCACAAACGTCCTCCAGCGCAGCGGTGCGCCCACAGAGGCCGGGACGAAACCGTTCGGATCATTCCCAAGAGGCGCCGTGAGCCAGAGGTTGACCTTGGCCGTCGCCAACACCAGGATGGTCATAACTAGGGAGTAAACACATAGCAAGATGACCAAGAGGCGCCCATACCAGGTCCTGGGACCGTTCTTTGGTCTTATGTTGTGGCCGTCCCACGACATATCGACCGCTTCACAGGGCGACGACGTGGAAAGGCTCACGTAGGCGACGTGGCCCCGCCGGTCGCGTTTCCAGAACCACATGTTTCTGAAGATCTCGTGTGCCACTCAATACAAATATCCCATTATCTGAGTACAAGTGGGCGACAGAGCTATGCTCAATAACCTGCTCCTCCGATAGGCTTCACGCTTAGCTAGTGATACTGCAGGAAGTGTTCGTTCCTGAACGGATCAGAACAACAGCCTGCCCAACCGCAAGACCCCTGCCGACCGACCGCACTCCCGGAACTTTTTTGGCCTCCTTGAACCGAGTTATCGCCACGATAAAAAACCTGACAACCCCCAGCGCTGCTAATGACAAGGTTCTCTTGCGATAGTTGAGCGGCCCGGCGCTGCCCTGACCAGCGAGAAGCTTTAGGTTCCGGCCGGCCCCGCACGCAGCTCAACAGCCCGTTCAGTCCCTCCCCGGGAAGTTTAACTTAATTATCGGCTCGCAATATTTCCTCTACGAGCAGTGCAGGTAGTCACTGTTGTCAATGCATTTGTTGTGGCAGTGAGCGAAAGGTCATTCGTTGAGGACTAGGAGGAAGCTGTCTAGAGGTTCAGTTGTGTAGTCTGCAAAGCTAGGGAGCAACAGAACGTTGAACGGATAACTTATCAACAGAGATAGAGTAGAACTTCATATGGTGTCTTTGGGAAAACAAACACCATCATCATGCATTGGCGTTGGCAAGAAGATGACTCCGATTACCACTCATTCTCAACTCCAGCCACGGAGGCAGTAGCACTCAGCAGCCGCCCAAGGCGGCATATTCTGAATACGGCATCGACATGTGTCTTACTGCTGGCGTTAGTCACGACCGTAGCATGGCTCTACAACATGCTCCGCGATACGATTATGAGGGGAGGTCTCTTCCCAAGCTGCAATAGCTGTTCACAGCTCGACATGTCTGGGTATTTGTGCGCACCAAACGGCGCCAGGCCAGAAGTTGCACATGAACGTGGGTGCGCGTGGGATCCCATCAGCTTCCACTGGTACCGGCGTGAGCTTGTCGAGGATCCGGACAACCAGAAGCTGATCCGCGGGTTCCTCGACGCGGGGCCGTGGCATCGGTTCTACGACGCCGAGGGCACCGTCGAGGTCGACCCGGCAAACCGTGTCCTGACGACGCTGTGGTTGACGAAGCGCGAGCACGTCGTTCACTGCATGTATACACTGCGTCAGACGCACCTGTGGCTGACCAAGGGCTTCGATCCGCCCTTCAACTATAGCCACACCATCCACTGCACGTCGTATCTAGTGAACATCATCCTCGAGAGCCCGGTGCCCGAAATGGACAAGCTGACCGTTCACGCTGTGCCCTACCCTTCAGAATGGCAGCTGGTGGGTACCTTGTAGCTCCCGAAATGATTTTGAGCTCACAACGAACGCAACCATAGGTCAAGCCTAAATACCCATGCGACGAGGAAGGGCTGAGTTGTGTATCTTGGTGAAGAGGAACTAAAGCGAAGAAGCAGTGTTGTTGGCAAGCGGCCATGGCAACGCAGCCGGTTGTGAAAAGGCCGAGGCGGCGGCCGGAGCGGTCGCTCAGGACGCCCATGATAGGTGCCACTATCAGACCAGACAAAGGGCCGGCGAGCAGAACCAGCGAGACATGTGAGACGGCAAAACCAAGCTCTGATGTGAGGTATGGCTGAAATGAATCAATTGCACATCAGCTTGCGGTCGTTTGATTCCGGGATTCAACTAAGAGAATGGCGTTTCGCTTCCTCCGACCTACTTACTATCAGGTAGACGGTAAACATGGTGAAGAAGGATTGAAGACTATAGACAGACTTAGCTATTTGTCACACATATCATGATTCCCACGGGTTTTGCCGTGTGGTATTACTGACGGCATCGAGGGCGCAGCATAGGCCAAGATGACCCAGAGACTGGTGTGAGGCCGCTCGTCAGCCGGCTTATTGGCGGATACATCGGCAGATGTGCTTGTGCTGCCCACGACGAGGGCAATGTCGACGGGATGGTCAGTTGATTCGAAACTCTTCATTCGTGCAACGGAGGAGGGCTGGACAGTGGCAGATGAGTTGTCAATCTCCTGTTCTCTCCCTGCATTTATGTGTGCGCGCGCGTGTGTGCATATGTGTGTTTAATGTCTTTTGATAGGAGTTGGCTGGTCTCGGTTCCTCGAGGGGGTTTAACGTTTGAACTTACATCAGACCGAACCCGTCCCATTTCGTTCGCTTAACACTGATCTTAGATAGTTAGTAAACCACCCCGCTTTTGGCCTATTTACACAAGGCGTTGGGATTGTGAAAAGAAACACTCTATGCCTTCTATACGGACCGTTTTTCCAATGAGGCAGGCCGTCTGCGTTGGATAGAACACGGTGTTTTGGCAAAGCATGACGAGTAAAGTCTTCTCAATATCAACTACGAGGACCAGCTCGAAGGCACACGGGAATCAGACAACGAAGAAAAAACAAGATGGCAAACTTCATACAGAGGTTCCTACTGGTATGCCCGTCCATCCTGCATTTCGCGGCTATCAATCACAAAATTCAACTGACAACGATTTGAATCGGTGTAAAGAAAGAGACGGCGAGCGGCGATGCGCCTTTGTATAACCGGCTGAACGATGACGAGAATGGAAACGGGAACTTGGTCAGCAAGGAGGATATCGATCGGCCTTCTACTAATAAGTCGGTGGCGACAATGCTGAGCTTCTTCATCTTGGGATTCCTCGTGGCAATGACCATCAGCGCCATCATCGCTTTCCTCGTCCCTGTTGGTTTGCACGACGGTCTACATTGCGCGGAATCCCCGTAGCATTCAGAATACAAAAATGAATTGACGAGAACACTGTATTTGCTACGGCAAAGACATTCGCACGTGATTTTGGACGGATGAAATAAATAAGTATCCGTCGCAAATGGATCGGAGTATGGGAGACGAAACATTGGTACATGTTAGTCACGTCTGGAGCCCCTGGTTCATTGTTACTCACTGTCTCTTCTCCGCGTGCGAATGGTAACGTCTCAAGATTCAGATAACTGAACCAGAAGCTTGCCCATGACCTTGCCACAGCGGAAAAGATCCCCAAACGCCTCTGCCGCCTTTTCCAGCCCGCGGACTACATGCAGCGGCGCAATCCTCGGGAGTCCGCCGTCCTTCTCTATGCCCTTATGCATTTGCTGCTGGAAGGTCGCCATGTACTTGCCGGCCAGATCAGTGATGAGGAAGCCGCTGATTGTCAGCCTCTTATAGACAACAGGCTGCCAGAGCCACAGAGAAACCGGTGCCGTATCGCAGCCAGGCTCGTCGTCTGCGCCTCCAATATTACCATACTCGTCGATGGCATCGCACACGACGATCCGCCCGTGAACCTTCATGCATGCCGCTGCCGCGCGCAACTGAGCACCGCCAACACTTGCAAAGTGAATGTCGAGCCCTTCCGGAGCGACGCGGCGCAACATCGACTCACCCGTTACGTGACTCTCTTGGCGGTTGAAGACAAAGGCATCATCGAACAGGCCAGTTTGCCGGAGCCAGTCGACCTTGTCGATCGAGCCGGCCGACCCCACGACGCGGAGCCCATCTCGCTTGCTAAAGTAGGCCACCGTCAGACCGACTGTCCCTGCTGCCGAGCTGACGAAGATGGTTTCGCCGGGCTTAGGCCGGCCGCACTCGTAGAGGCCGGCGAAGCCTGTGAGTCCGGGCTGAATGTTCAGAGCATGATATGTTAGCGTACTATTCTTCTCGCCCACAGACTCAGTGAGATGTGTACGTTTCATTCAATGCATGTCATACGCCGAGGAAGAAAAGGAGATGAAAACGAGGCCGGGCGCGGAAAAGGGGGTGGAGGTTCTAGAAAGCCCTTTGTACGGCGGGATACTTACAACACCAAGGACACCCAGCCAATGACCCGCATCAAGGCTGTACCCCTTCACACGTCCCCCGATGGGCACCACCAGGCGACGATTAGCAGCAATTGACACCTCGAGGATTACATGTTGCGCCAAGGGGACCCTGGCGAGCCACACAGTCTCGCCGACAGGGAGGTCATGGACGGCGTCAGACCGCACGACGGTGCCTACGGCGCTCGTACACAATGGCTCACCAACGGGCAGCGCGGGAGTGTAAGTCCAGGCGGAGGAAGGGTCCCTGAGCTGCGAGCGAAGAAATGGGTCAAGAGAGGCCAGCTGGATGCGGACCAGCACGCCTTCCCCGTCGGGCAAGGGTAGGTCTTTCACTAACAGGTCTTTTCCAGACTGAGGAAAGCGCCCTGAGGGCACTGAGCTAAAGATTAGTGTCGGATTAGACATATTGGCGACGTCGTAACCTTGAAGACTTGGCACGGCGCGCGATGATGCCCCAAGGATGCGAGAGGTAAGTAGGGTGACGTAAGTTGATGCGCCAAGAGGATTCTGCTGCTGGATTATGTGTCTCCCAATTTAATGACATGGACGCCATGTACATCATATCAGATGAGGGCTAGGCACCTGCTTTGCTGCCTTCGCAGTTCGTTGAGGCGAGCAAGTTTAAGTTGGGGCAGCCGCATCATCATGGATCCATATGGTCGTAAATTAGACTTTGAGACCTCGGCTCCGGTGTTTGTTTGGCAGCCAATGTTAACCCCATTACACAATCCCGCCAGCTTCAGAGCTGCAGACGCCTCATACACCATCTAAATCATCCATGGCACACCGTGAGAAACAGTGCAGGAATGTGTTCACAGAGACCTGAGCTCCAGTAGCATCGAATTGTTTGTAAAGAAATCTAATTACAATGGCTCCATCGACCAAGACCTTGTATGAAGCTCTCGACGTAACCCACGACGACATCATTGACAGCGATGACGACTCTGGCGACAAATGCTGTTGTGATTGCGGTTGCCACAATAGAAGACAGACATTGGAGAGACGTCTTCCTGACCGCACCATACTTTTATTCGCCCTCGCTGTCTGCACGATCGCCGCCTGTGCCTTCGCCTTCGGTATTCAATCTTATTTAAGAATCTCACAGCCCGTGATCCCATTGGGTGCTGACCCATGGGGCCTCGTCCCCCAGGGTATCTATAGATCATGACGAGTCCATTACACCACCATGTTTTACAGAATGTATACGGCTGACCCGAAGCAGAGGTGGGCCAGACGACTTCGTGGCGGTCGTTCTACAATGACTCCCGGGACCCTTACTGGATGGACGAAGACACGTTCGACAACCTGGACGTCATGAGGCGCGTCATCAGACGCCTCAAGTGGCTGCAGAATTGTAAGCACGCCGATCCTTCACTTGTGCCTTTGGTCATCGTTGCTGAAGGCCCATCGAACTAACAGATCCTCTTTCAAAATGATAGCAACGAACATACGTGCCAACGGCCGGCAAACCAAATACCGGGATTGGAATGGCAAGGAGGCCGTGTTACCGTCCTACCACGGATCCACGCCTACCGAAGTGTTCGGCATAAGATCTTTCCATCAAATACATTGCATTGTACGTCTAGCCTATTTTTTAACCTGGAAAGTAATGTAGCGCAATGAGGCTGACCCCTTGTCCTTCCTCCCGTACACAGATTGTCATGGTCGAGGACTACGGCCTTCGCCTGCACGGCGAGCCCTCGCAGTGGACGCCAGGCCACGTCATGCACTGCATCAACACGATGCGGCAGCTGACGCAGTGCATGGCTGATGCCACCCCGATCTCTCTCGTTCATGGTGCGGAGAAACACCTCGGCGACGGCCAGCAGATGTGGTGCCGCGACTTTGACGGCCTCCGCCGTTGGGCTAACGCCCCGGAGCGCGGTCTCCGCTACGCCATAGTCTCACCCCCGGGCGCTAAGGACGTGTATGACGAGATTTGGCCTTATCCAGGAGACTCGGGCCCGCCGGCGGATTTGTGGTAAGCCCTCAGTGAGGATTGTTCGTATAGATTTTGCGTCACGAGGTTGATTTGCCTATGCTGGAAAAGGTCAGTTAAGATCGATATAGATAATATAAGCCGGCCTCGTAAGCCTATTGACTATTAATTGCGTGTCACCGAGGAAGTCTGTGTGTTCAGTCCATAGTTGTGATCTACCTGCTGGGAACGTTGCCTCTTGGTATGCTCTTGGTATGACGCAACTCGAATGTTGGATCATAATGGACATACCAATAGTCAGATACTTTCTCACGGGTGTTCATCATCGAAAATGCCCTCATTGAAAAGTGATTGAGGTTCATATGTTCTTGTTGATGGGAGCAAGTATCCGTCAGGTTACAAGATAAAAACCTGTTGTTCATTTCATTTCACTCAAGCCAGGCTCACTTAGCCGTGAGGCGCGACCTTCGTCACCGGAGCTTTCCAGCTGTCCACGTCGATACAAATGTACGTCTAAACAGACTGAAAAGATTGATTATTGATCTTTTGGGTCCGTAACATAAGTGATAAGCAGAGATATATCAAACGAATGAAGAATGATGAGAGTGATAGTATTTCAGGCAGAAAATTAAAAACGTCTAGATATTATGGGTAGTTTCATACATAATCACTCCACTCATCTCTTCCAGAATCACCTTTCCATTCATAACATTGAAAACAGCCCTAGACTTCACACAATGACAAACCCGTGGCCAAACATTATATAAGAACCGAAACACCTGTTAACACTATAAGCGTCAGTCCAGCCCCTTCCAACCACCCTCATCACGGCATTTGGTCAAGTCACACTCCTTCGACAACCTAGACACAGCCGTAACGTTGAGACCCGAGTCATAGTGGAAGGGCAGGGCACGTATCGGGTCCTCAGCCCATCGCACAAGAGCGCGAAAGTCGCGGCACCGCGGCACGCTGCTGGCCCAGCTCGCGCGACGGACCTCGCTCATGGGCACACTACCAAACGGCTCCTGGTAGCCCTCGGCCGTACTGTCGGCAGAGCAGGCGATGGACCTGTACCATTTGTTAAAGCAGTGAATGACGTGGTGATCGTTCCACAGCGGGCGGAAACCGTTGAGGAGCAGCCCATAATCACGGAGCATCTCCATCAGGCAGTGCATCTGGTGCAAGCCTGATATGACATAGGCCTCAGTGTTGTTGATGGTGATCTTGGGGTAAAGAAATTGTTGCCTGCCCGAGTCGTCAATATAGACGCCGTATTGTGAGTTGGCCTTCACCCCTGTGCCGACATTGGTGTACTCTAGTTCTGCTAGTCGCTGCTCCATCAGTGACACATTGCTGAAGATGTCGTAGGGGATCGGCTCGGGCACGTAGTAGCCATAGTTCAGGGGCTCTCGGGCCACGGTGACATGGTCAGGGACCAGCGGCTCGATGGTTGACCGGGTTCGGGCCCCCGCTAGAACCATTGTCGGTCTGTAAAGACATGCCTGCCGTTGCGCCTCCAAGGCCCAAACGATGATGGCAAGGCAAAAGATTATCGCCCACTGTATCCACAATATGGATTCGGCGAAGGCTCTTATGGAGATTTTCGTCCGTTGTGGAATGCTTCTCTGCTGAGAGTCACCATGGCCAGTGGATAGTTGTTGTTGACAGTTGTGACAGCTGAGGAGGCCATGCCTCTCGCTCAAAGGGCCTGCGGTGTTGTCTGGGTGTCCCTCTGACACTACGCCGCTTGTGAAGTCACCGCGGCTATCATCAGTCATTGTTCTTGGTCGCCCTCCAGAAGTCCGAGGGCTTGCTTGAGTGATTCAGTTGTGGATAGTATCTGCAAAAAGGCCAATGCCTCTGTTTCAGCCTAGCCCAGAGATAGCCAGTTCCACATGAACGCGAGAAAAAAGACCCAGTGAATGTGTAGAACAAAAGCAGACACATACATTCTCATCAGAAAACAGGGCGTAGTGGTGCCCCGGCGTGTCGATGACAGCTGTGACAAGCCCAGGCTGCGTCTCGTTCCATCCAAGATCGACATGATGGCGCTGGGCGTCCAACCTGCACAAAGTAAGATTTCGGTCTCCGGTAAGCTCGCGGTCTCCGATATGCTCGGACTGGCCTGCGAGCTGGCCCGAAATCGGATCCGCGGCCTTGATGAGCACCGCCCGTGGAGCTCGGCGGCAGGCCCACGAGGGTGGCGACCACGACGAACAGAGCACGTGGCAGCGCACCAGCGAGACTAGGATTTCGTCACGAGTGTCTGGCGTTACGTTGGCGGGCATTGAGGGCGCAAGGTTAGAGTTTGCGTCGGAGCCGAGAGAGCGGGACGGCGAAAGGTAGATGGTATCGATCAGGATCAGGCCAGAGCATACGAGGCCTCGGCCTTCTGCGGCGAGCATGTGGGCCATCTGAATGGCAACGATACCCCCAAACGACCACCCTGATTACTTGTCAGATTCTGTGCATTATCTTCCAAGCCTTTTCAAGTAATCACAGACTTTGCAGAGTATGTGTGCAGTTGCGGGAGATAAGGTGGAAGCTTGGACGGGCGAACAGGGAGTACGGGTAGCTTTGCATAGCTCACCTCCTAGAAGAATGTCACCTCGAAGCATGACTTTCTTGACGAGTTTGATATAATGTAGCGCCATTTCATCGATGCTCAGCCAGGCACCACCTTCATGCCCGAAATGAGGATCGCTTATGCCGTATACTATGCGAGTGCCCCCCAGCAAACCCAGCTTGAGGTAGCTAAATATGTTGCCGCTGGCGTCGTGGATAAGAAAGAGAGGAGCTGCGAGCGATTTGGCGCGGCCGTAACTTCGACCTGCCGTCGCGTCCTGAATCAGAAAGGGATTCTTGCTTGCCGCCATTTTTAACAAGGACGAGAAATGAGGATACTAAGGTCGGTGATGTGTAACGATCCAGAGGTCTTGCTAAGCCGACTGGTCTCTTGTATAGTGCTTAAGCTTCTAATTAACCAACTGCCAGCCATACACAAATGTTTCAAGGATGGAAGAACCACATTTCCAATCTCTTCTTTTTTCTGCCTCCCCGAAACGCGAAGACCGGATGCAAAGCCCACCTGCTCATCCTAAACAGAGGTGCTTGTTTTCGGACAAACGGGAGCACATAAGCAAACTTTACTCGGTAGTTTCCACATACGCACGACGTTCCCCCTCGCCTTGGCTGGTATTGCATGCCTCGCAAGGATAAACGAAGTACTTACTCATACTGCTCTACGTATAGAGCTATTGAAGAAAACAAACACTTTGCTCAAACGTAATCTTTATCTCACCAATTGAGAATCGCTTCGCAAACTATAGTGACCAATGTGAATATTGGGCGAGCACGCTAGATGATATGTGCATTAGAAACCTACACCTATGCGATAAACCTAATCTTTTCATTACTGTTAAGAACCTCGGCACGTAGCAAAACATAGCTAGATTTGGGAACTTGAGCGCCTCCTTGTGCTGAGGTGAGCGGGTTGCTTCAAACAAACAGATCCCCCGATAAATCTCGAACTTTCAATAGTTGAGAAGCTTAACTCCTTCTCAATGTGCTCCGCTAAGCACATGCTGCTGGTCGGCGTCCCTTCTGGGTCCGGAGCTGCCTTGGTGGCGCTCCTCGTCAATGATGTCCTTGGTCGCTTTGTAGACCTTGGTCATGACCGCCTGTAATGCCTCGAGCGTGATAGGATCGCGGGGTCTCGTCCAGCCATATTGGACTGGCAGGAACTCTTTCTCTGCAAATTACCTTCCGTGTCAACGTGGCCCAAAGTGACAAGGAGTACAGAAATACTAAATTAGATATATAAAAAGCGAAGAGGGGCAGAACAACAGAGAAACAGAATCTTACCAAGAAAATAGGTCAACCAAGTGCGATTCACCGTGCCAGCGACCCGGTCTCCCAGAGTCAGGTAGAACCCCGCTACCTCCCCAAGTCCACGGAAGTTGTCTTCCAACCTCATCTCGAAGTCGACATTGGTGCTTGCTGAGGTGCGAATCCGACCAAGTCGGGCAGCAGCGCCCTGTTTTACGGAGACGATGGGGTCAGGCCAGTACTGCAATGTTTCCTCAAACACCTCGGCGTCGAATACACTCGGATCTCCAAAGCTGTTATCCGGTCGCCTACGGTCACCGGTCAGTCAGTCTGACATCCTGCGACCCAGCTTTATAAGATTTGCATGCGGGGGATGGACTCTCACGTCAAGCTTGCATCGTGCTCAATGATGCCGTGGCGGTTCAGGTGGTCAAGGTCAAACGTGACCGCATTTGGGTCAGGGTTCGTCTTGATGGCGTGGTCAAAGAGCAGCTTGGACACGTAAGGGTCAACGTTGATGCCGTCTCTCAAGGCACGCGTCGTGAGTTCTAGCGATATGCCCCTACCATTGGCGGGTAGAAAGTCGTGGTTCGCCAACGCATTCAGCATGGGACAGGGACAGCGGACTATTATCCAGCAGACATATTAGCCACCCCTCATCTCCGTTGACAGAACAGATTGCAGCCTCATACCGTCTCCATGACCGGGGGGATGCCACCGGTCAAAGGAGCCATTATGGCTGGCAACAGTGAAGGGGGTCGAGACCAAGAGTAGGCGCAGGAACTGCAACAGGGCCATGTTGCTTTTGATAAGGTCGATAAACAATGCAAAATAAGCCAACGACCATATGCAACACGCGTGAGGAGATGACCCTGGCTTCAACGCTTGGAGAGCTTTTGACGCATGTCTTATTGCAAAATTCAAAGATAGCCATGTGTTAATCTTGGGATTGTTGTTCGATGAGGAAAGTTCCAGCAACCATGCCCCAATAACGCAAATAACGCAAATAACGCAAATAACGCAAATAACGCAAATAACGCAAAGCTTATGCCGCGTGGAGCAAGGTGTAGCTTCACACAGCAGCTCCGGGCCGGAAAGCTTCAGAAACCCGAAAGAAAGCTACCCAGGCCAACTCAGAGTCCATGATACTTTTGCGACTTCAATCTGGCCTGTCCAAAGTACGCCCGCTTTTGGAGCGTCCCGCGTAGCTGATATAGGCGTGATTTTGAAGTTTGATGTGGGAGGAGTGACTGGATTACGAACTGGGATTTGAGGAGTGACTTCATGTTCAATCGCGTGCTGTGACCGCCACGTTGGATGTAAAGAGTGTGGCTTGCCTCAATAGTCTCAGGGCACGCGCGCACACTGGCAATTTAGTCTCAAGCGTATCTAAATACCAGTCCTCCGGATATGTGAGACTCAGGCAGTAGTAGCACAGGACATCGGAGAAATCGGGCGCGGGGGCCTTATAAATCTCCTGTCAAGAGGCCCTTTCGCCCCATGGCATCAATCCATTGCTTAACCAATGGGTTTGGTACTCCCGCCGTGGGCCACAGACACCTCCCGCACAGGCGTAGCGGTTGTGTCCTGCTCGGTCCCGTCCTTGACGAACCAGCTTATAATAGCAATACAGGTGGCTGTGCCGGCCATCAGCCACCATGCGAGACCCCCGTTACGACTGGCCTGGCTGGCTGCGTAGACGTACCCAACTGCGAATGGGCCTATCGTTCGCGCCACTGCAGACAGGGTCATGGCCAAGCCGTGGGTTGCGGCCAGGGCGGCCGGGCTCGGGGCAGAGCTGCGTGACAGGTCGGATCAGCATATTGTCTCAAACAGCAGACACGTATAATGGGAGGCCAGTGTGAGACTCAACTTATTGGTCATCAAGGTCGCCGAAGGCACCACCATGGCCGAAGTCAAGACCATGAGCAGCTGGACAACGGCGATGACAAGCCACATGAGAATAGGAAACTTGACGGTGACGGCGATGAGCGGAGAGAGAGCAAAGGCTAGGGCTGGACACCACAAGAAGCACCGCAGGGTGCCTACTGGCTTTAGTTTGTAGCTGACACGCGGGTATACCCAGATTTGCAGCGGAAGTGCGGTGACAGCCAAGATCGTAAGTGTCAGGGCGATCTGGTAGGGCTGGAGACCGGCGCCACCAGAGAACCGCAGCGGGGATGACGACTTCCCTTCTCCTTCGAAGACCGCAGACACGGGGGGGTCGCTGAGAAATAAGGGCCAGAGGGTGTTGTATCCAGCGGTGAGACCGTCAAGCATTGCCTGGCAGCTGGTCGCGAGAAGAACGTTGGCCGTAAGAGCTTTCCTTAGAGGCAACTTACCACCCGTAGGAGCTGGTGGGGGCTCGCGTTTGCTGCGTTGAGCCTCGTCATCGGCCTGTGGCGACAAAAGAGGATCTAAGTCCTGTGTATCCTCTGAGTCCCGCGTGTTAGCGGGCTCGTAGCCAAACTTGGACTCCCTGCGAGACCTGTAGCGCTGCCAAAGCCTCACGACAGCCTTCTTGATGCGGATCCCGATGTCAGGTTGGTCTCTGAGGGCAGGCAATGTCTTTGTGACGCGAACACGTTAAGGTTAGCAGATCACACAATCAGGACGGATATGAGAGATGGGCGGGAAAAGCTAGTAGTAGTGTTAGGGTAAAGCAGAAAGGAACGATAATTACCTCTTCCAACAAAAAGAAGACGGCTAAGAAGGCTGCGTAGATTATCCCACTCGCCATCAGCATGGGCGGTGCGTACGTCCAACGGCCCAAGAAGTCATTAGTTGCCGAATGGCTCTGGGCATACGCAACCAAGAGCCCGGCAAGCGGAGGGCCGGCCAGGGCGCCAATGTTAAAGGCTAGAGGTAGCAGGAGAAATGCCTTGACGCGATGTCGCTTGCCGGGCACGATCTCTGGAATCATGGTGCGTACAACGAGCGTCCCGCCGCTGAACGTTCCTTCAATAATGCGGAGAACCATGGCCTGCGCGAAGCTGCGTATGAAGCCAAAGCAGAGGGTGCTCGTGCCAAGGACGGCCATGCTCATCAATAGGACGCCCTTACGGCCGACTCTTGGAGAGTCTGCGACCCGGCTCGTGGGCAGGCTGACAAGCGCCACCATAGCCGTCAGGGCCGTCTGCATCCACGTGGCCTGACGCACAATTTCAGCCGAAGAGAGGGAAGGATCTAAAGATTGAAGCTGATAGTATATGTAGGTCTACCACAGCAGCGAGCTGGTCAGTTGTCTTGCTCGTTCAAGAAAAGGGGGTGAAACAAACACTGAAGCTTGTTCGCGTAATCGGTTCGGACAGCCGAGACAGACACAGCACCAGCAGCTGGTCTTTATGCGGCATCGTCCTCCATGACGAGCCTTCGGCAACAGAGACGGCGGTAGTCTGAGCCATGATTGCTCTTTGGTTCACGGGGCAACAACAGCAGTGGGGAGGGTTTTGACTTTGGTTTTGCTAAACAGACAGTTCTCGAAGGCGTTGGGTATTGAGTCCACTCAGTGACAGACGAAGGCTCAAGGCCAACTTTTGTGAGTATCTTCACGGCAGAACTATTACTAAGAAGCCCCCTCTCGTCTGTTAAGCAATGCCCATGACCCCGAAGCCCTCTCACAGCCCAACGAATCACATTTATCCCTCACGGGACCTCTTTACTTGAGTTTGCGTGCGAGAAACTTATGCGGAGTATATTCAAACCTAGCCGTCCGATCAGGAAAACAGGGTAGGGTGGTTCGCCACATGCTCCAGCCGGAGAATAACAACAGCTCCATGGCAATCGTTCTTTTCCATCTGCGCCCTGAATCCATAATGGCAGCACCCGGACATACGGTTGCCCCGCACTCTCCATTCTGTGTTTCCAGCTGCGCTTCCTCCCAGGTTGAACCGCCTTTCTGGTGTAAGCTTACCTTCGTAAGCTTAACAAAAAACCTCATCTGCTTACCAAGACTAGCAGCGTCTCAATACTTGCTCGCTCAAGTCACTACATGATGGAAGAGTTTGAAGAAGAAGATATTCGTCTACTGGGGTCTTTTCTAGGCCACAAGGCGCACAAGGAGCATCGCCGTCGACGGCTATGCGGCCTTCTCAGCTGGGAAACCGTGGCTGCCCTCGGATCGGTCTCTGTGCTTGCCGCCGTCTTCTACCTGCTCCGATCTGCACCCTTCACGGATGGGCGACCGTTCGAGAGTAAACAAGATCCTCTCGCAGTGGGACCGCAATGCGGCCCATCATGGACGCAGGCTGAGGCCGCTGGGTGCGTGTACGACCTGCTGATGAGTGCCTGGGTGCCCCCGCATTGTCACGACGCAGAGCTCTATCGCCAATACGTGGCGGACGTCAACAGCACTTTCTATTTTGACCGGCAGCAGGAGAGCCGCGTCGCGTGGGACGTCGTTCTGAGCGGCCGCCATCCTAGTTCGGGGCTCTGGACCGACGGCGGATTTCACCATCTACACTGCACCTACATCTGGGAACGCCAGCACCGCGCCTACACGCATGCCGCTGCTACCGGGGAGCCAATGGTTCTTGATTCACACTGCCGGAACCACACGCACACGTTGCACTGCATCTGGTGGAATGGACGACCGAGGGCGTGGGAGATCAATTGGCCTAACATCACACGCATCTACCCTCCTAGAGAACCGATACGGTGCCTGATCGATGTGATCGATGTCTAGGAGAGAAGCTGGGAGGGGGATATCAGTTTTCACTTGTATTGCCGCTCTTACACTGGATGAATACAGTAATATTGACGATCTTAAGCATCGTCAAAGATCTTGTAATGCTATGATCCTTTCTTGTTGGCATGAGACACTATATGTAAAAGAATGTTGGAACTCGGATTTGTCCACCAGGCATGTACCAGTACCCCGGCTGCCACGTTCTTCATGTCACCCAGCTCACCAGACTGACGTGTCGACCGGCTTACCTGCAATGGAGCCGTTGCGATAGATGGGCATGAAGTGGTCTGTATCGTTCGAATCAAGCTCGTAGTGGAAATTGTGATCGCGAACCGGGTCGTTCACCCAGTCCACCAGGGCGCCGAAGTCGCGGCACCAGTTCTGCTGGCCATCGGTGCGGTGTCCACCCGGCACGACGTAGGCGAAGGGGCGCGAGTCGGCGAGGCAAGTCGCCGCCTGCGTCATCGTGTTGAGGCAGTGGGCAATGTGGTCGCCGTCCCACTGCGAGGGGCGATTGTGCCGTGCCCAGCCGACGGATTCGAGAAGGACATACTGTAGCTTGTCAACATACAAAGAACATTAGACCAACCAACGGTCTACCATACGTACCACGCAGTGGATCTGATGAAAGGCCTGGATGCCGTATAGCTCGAGGCCGAATTGGCCGGCCTCGGGAGGCAACTCTTTGCGCACGCCATCGTAGGCAAGGTATGTTGCCTTTTGGCCATTGGAGTGAATGAAAACGTCTGTGGCTGGTTAGAGAACGAGGCCGAGTGGGGTTACATGTGCATACCATTGTGGACGGCTCTCAGGCGCTCGGCCGACTCTTGTATGTTCTCCCAGCTGTCAAAGGTTTTGGGAGATATGTAAAACTGGTCTTTCTCATCCCACTTCGTCCAGCGAAGTGGATAGCCAATCTCTGGTCCATTTCATCAGTCATATTCACAGTAACACTATAACACAAGTCCTTTTGATTTCGTTGCACAGGCGTTAATAACTCACCTCGTGGAACATAGCCGGATGGATCAGTCCCGAGAGGAAAGGCGCCGCATCCCACATCGACGTCGTGCACCGTGAGAACTCCCGGCGGGCGACCAAACGCCAGATACACGTTGAGGCATGCGGAGACGAGAAACAGCAGAGAGGCCAGGTGACGATAGTGACCTCGGTGACGATGCCTCTCTGCTGTATCGAGATAGTCCACGGTCATGCCCGAGTCGCCCCTCTGTTTCCACTTGACGAACTCGGCATCATTCAGTAGTAGCGTGGTGTCGCTGGATATGGAACCCGTGCCCTTCTCATCGGAGCTGCGACGCTCGTCCGCCTCTTCCTCGGAGTAATGGGTTTGGCGTGGCATAGCAAACCTTGGGCGCAAGTTGCAGTCGATGATTATCTTTGACTACGCTACAACAAGCGGATGATCGTGTAAGATATCGCCAATAGGCCGAGACGTGAGACAGGGCAGCACTCAATCCCGGAATCGTTGTCAAGAATCACCTATCAGCGCGTACCCGCGTGTGTCCCAAATGGTAGTGAGCAATTTCACCACAAAAGTAATCGGTTTCTCACTTCTCCCCGACCGTCTTCTCTCATTTCTCTTTGCCCTCGAACGCGTCTGTCATCTCGAACCAATGATGACTACCCCGGGATGCCCCAACGGGCCGGGAAGTTTACAAGAAACTCGCGGCCCGACTGAAGAAACCAGTCGAAATCACTGGGTACGCGTCAGTAACTGCGCTGCTTGCATCAAGGTTTGTGCAAAGCATGAGTTCACCAAAAGGTTGGCGAACCGTATTATCTGTTAGTCTATAACTCTGCCAATGTCTTGCAGAAAGTTCAGCTGCGGGGCCGAACCTGGAGCTTGTTTGGTTAAGTTGGCCATGTGTGCAATCTCGGTCTTCCGGGGTCTCGACCGAGTTATCGAATTTCCTTTTCCAGGTACCTTAGTGCGAGCAGAACGGAGAAAATCAAACGCCCGGCTCCTGTCAGCTCCCTTGGTATAGTTTATGGTTCCAGCCCCTCATATCACCTCCGTATGCCGACGAATCTTAATCGCGTCTTGCTTTTCATAGGTTCAGATAGCCTTTCAAATTCTCCGGGGCCAATCATGCCCAGATTCCTCGACGGCATCTTGGTAATTGAGGTGCGGGTCGTTTACTGATTTGCATCGACCTACCCTGCTCGTAAGGTAATTGTGTTGCAAGTGCTAGGCCAACTAACTCAACCATCCCACCAGTAATACGTGAAACTGCGACCAGTGAAGTTTGCAGCATACAACTTCGCGAACTACAGCTTGCAAAAAGTATCACGACAAGCGGCTGTACTACGCAGTAACCACCGTCAGTCCTGGGTTTAGGGAAGAGATGGCTGTGTGAGCCACACAACCGCACCTAGAAGCGTAGAATGATTAATGCGCAAGATCCTGGCATCAATGGAAATACAGCTGGTATCGTACGGCTGACCATAGTCCGTGAAGTAGCCGCAACACTCCCTTCCTACCTTGTCAAAACGCGTCTTGCCTCTCCCGGTTTCCATACCATCAAGATTACAGCACTCTAGACACGACTTTATGGTCCAGTGTCAGAATGCAATCGCGACTAGACGTGACAAGGAATTACGTAGGGCATGGTGTTGACACCATCAATGCTCACATCTCCAACCGAACCATAGCCAACTCGGTGTCTTATCTCCTTCCCATCCTTGAAACTCTTCCTCCAGATTTCACTTTCTTGGACGCTGGATGCGTATGTACACTGAACGACACCATGCTCGTTTTCTTCATGCTTACCACTGTGCCTCGCAATCTCTCCCTCCACAGGGCCCCGCCAGCATCACAATTGACATTGCCAGACGGTACCCCTCGGCGACAATCCTAGGCATTGACGGCAGCCCGGCCGTAATCAGCCAGGCCCGCGACGCCTGCCAGAAAGCCAATGTTCATAACGTTCGCCTCGCGGTCGGGGATGCCTTAGACCTGGCTCCTACGGCTAGCGAGCCCGGCTTCGAACGACTCAAGGGATTATGTGACGTTGGTGAGAGCAACCGGAGATTAATCAATGACAAGAATAGAAGAAGACCACTGCTGTCATAAGGACGATGAGCTGATCAGGCGACACCGCCATGTAATTAGCCCATACGCACAACGTCGTGATGCATACAACGGACGCACCTCGAGCTCTGGTAGAATTACGCTCCACGATTAAGGTCGGCGGCCTCGTGTGCTGTAAAGAGGCTGATAGGGCTTGTCTTATGATGTGGCCAGAAAACGCGGCGGTAGGCTTCTCCGATGGAACCCTGTCCTGAGAACCTTACGGCTCACACCTCACTTTGATTGTACTAGATACGCCGTACCTACGCTGTAATTAGCGACATTATGGAGGCCAAGGGGTGCGATCCGTACGTTGGGAGGAAGCTCAAGACATACGCGATGGCGGCGGTAAGTAGTCCCCACCTCCCCTCCCTCTCAATTGGCAGAGAGAGAACCGGTCAAGTGTTCATAGAAGATCCGATTCCAGTATCTGACTCGGCTCAGGGGTTTTCAAGCAATGATATCAGGGTAGGCCAGGCGCCCTGGGTCGTGTCTTCACGCGAGGAGCGTGAGAATTGGAGTGGCCTGGTCGCTCGCACCAGCGCCGATCCGGAAGCTCGTGCCCGGATTGAACACGAAGCCCGTTGCATTGGACATGAATTCAATCTTGAAGAGCTTCACAAAGGATGGAGAGAGTGGATAGAAGACGACACGGCTTGTGCCTCAATAAGTGACATTTACGTGGTCTGTAGGAAGCAATAGGATTTGAAGCGATCCAATCTCAATTATTCAGGGCCGCCTGTTGAAAAGCTGGATGAAAGACAAATTGACCACGAACGATGCTGCGGAAAATAATGGTTTGCGTTTCTTGCCAGACGATGAAAGTGAGACTACCAACGCAACCAACTATTCTTTGATTACTCTCCTAGTAGCTGAAACGTAGTAGCCTTGAACTATCTATACCAAGTATGTTGGTCTTCATACAGCACTTCGTATTCACCCGTCTTTATGTCTCAGGACTGTCCTCTAAATGCGTGACATGACGTCTCTTACGGTCTCGCAAGTCCCGGATGCAATCGCGTGGAAGATGCGAGCGTAGGTGTCGGCCATTGTCTGTACGCTTTCCTCAGTAAACCAGAGTCTCTTGAACGTAAAGTTTGCGTTTACGTGTTCCCCATCGGCCTCGGGCACCACGACCAGCGAGACGAATAACTACGTCACAGAAACACACGCGCATAAGTTAGCACGGCACAGGTTTAAGACTGCATATTCTGGCAGACATATAAAATATCCCAAAGAAATAAAAAGGTGAGGCGAAGCAGAAGGGGAGAACCATTTTCATGGCACAACATACTTCTTGGATGAGGTTACTGACGACACCACGATACGCCAGCTCGAGCCCTTGTGGGATGTCTATCCGGCGGTCGTTGAAACGCACGTTTGTCACAGGGAGCACACCATAGAGATCACTAGCTGATTTATCATAGCCAAGGGCGCGGGCGACGTCTTTTGGGCGGTAGATCAGGTGTCTCCTATGGGCCAGGTCGTCTGCGTGGAGGCGCTGTATCAGGTCGGCCACGCGCGCCGTCGGGACCACCTTGACCCTGGCATAGAAGTAGGTGATCATCATTCCAAGAATTTTATCGATGTCTGCAATGTCGCGGTCGCGGTCCGAGACGAGGTAGGAGATGCACACCTCTTCATGGCCAGTGTATTTTGACAGGGTCAGGGCATAGGCGAGACTGAGCAACCTGGAGGGTAAGACGCAGCACTTACGGCAGTAGGAGGCGGCCGGCCCTGTTACAGTTAACCGACATGAGGCCCTGCCGAGGTTTGTCACGCAGGTAAGCTCTTTTCCGTCGGGATCCAAGTAGGCGGTCGGTGACGAGGATTGCTGGGTGGGGCGCCGGTCGACCACTCCGAGATGATGGGGCCGAATCCTGCACGGCTCGGCGCCGGTGAGATAGTGGATCCAGTATCGGGTGCCGGACTCCACTGCGGCCTGGCCACGACGGGTCGTCAGGCCGAGATGGTGAACGTACAGTTCGAAGCCGGGCGCCGGGCGGTCAGGCAGGGCGCCACGGTAGAAGCGGTCAAAGTCGACCTGGAACACGCCCGTGGCCACAAAGTCGGCTGCAATGTGCCAGAGGACGACGTTCATGTAAACGCGAGCTGAGGGCGTAACGAATAGGCGTATCGACACGCAGGCGGCTGGCTTCAGCCGGTACAGCATGTTGGCCGTGTGTACAGCGCTGTATTGCCGAATTTCGCACTCGCTGTCCGAGTCGATGTGCACGACGGCGCAATCGACGGGCCATCGTCGCATTACGAGCTGCACGACTGCCTCTGGCCGCAATGGGCCAGAATGGCAAGAAGTCACACCTAGCTCAGCCAGGGGCACAAAGCGTGTGCGGAAAATTGCGTGGCGGTCCACTATGGCCTGCCACGCCCTTGCCGCCCTGTACGGATCCACAGGTTCCTGGCCGCCTCGGAAGAGGATCTCGTAGCAGGTAGTCATGATCCCCGGCCTCTCGGGCGCCGGGTTCGTCGAAAATAAGTGGTAGTAGTCTTCCTGCATCGGCGTACACGGCACTACATAGGCAATGTTGTCTGGGTCCACGCCAGGAGGTACCTTAAAAGCATGTAGACTCAGGGTAAAAGACTCGTCGTTATGGGGATGGGTGTCGGTCTCCCTACCATCTGCGTCGGCGGCGCCCACTCTCTTTGTCTCGATCGAGCGTGCAAGTCTGCTAATGGTCGACTCGGAAAGTATGTCAACGGTGGAGACTGGAAGGCCAGCCAGGCGACAGCGCCGAGCAGCCTTCATAGCACTGCACGAGTCGCCTCCAAGAGACAGGAAGTCATCATCCAGGCCAATGGTAGCTGGAATAAGTCTCAATTAGTCTGTGAAAGGGCATGAGAGGTGTGCCTCACCCGAAGGAGTGGCGAACTCCAAACTCCAGATGTCTCTCAACAGGGTTTCCATCTTTCTTAGAGGTGAAAAGAAAATCTTTGGCGGGGATACGACCAGGGGGGCGGGCATGCGTTTCCGATATTATTGTTATAACGTACCCTCGGAGACTGGTGGGTTAGAACGAGGAGCCCCTCTCGGTGCCGAAGGGCGGGGGAAGGAAATTTAGTTTTATCAACTTTGCCTTTCTGCTAAGAAAGGATATGAAATACCCAAACCACAACATTAATTCCTTGTATCCGTTAGCAGACCCTACTATCCAACAACTGACCCTATCAACACACCTACATTTTATTCAACGACCACGATGGAGTATTCTAAGATCGAGAAATATCCCCGTTCGCCGTTGTCATCGTTGTCGTTAGAAAAGGCTTTCGCACAGCCTGAGCGCGAGATGCACAATCTGCTTGAGCACAAGGCGGGGTCTGGCAGAGCCAGATGGTCTCCGAGACTATCTATCGCGCTCTCCTCATCCGTCTTGCTTAACATAGCGCTCATCGCTGCTCTAGCAATCATTCTGCGGGGACGTCATGGGCCGAGCCGGCCTTCTTGGATGCCGCCAGAGAGGGTAGACGAGCACATCTTTCTGTCCCAACCAATATTTGGCCAGGGGCCCAATGTCACAACCGAGGACAGATGGGCTATGTTAATGCCAAGTTAGTCGAGCCGTTCCCTATTCCTCCTAGATAAAATGGTTTCACAATGAAAAGCATTCCCCTTATTTCTTCCACAAAACTCGAGAGTTGCGTTTAATTTAAGACCAGCCACAAAACGTACAAAAGAAGCATAAACCTCGCGCGCATCTCTGATCCCATTACAGAAGGCAATGGCTGGATCAATGTGACGGTAGACGATGGCGTGCTGCCATATATGCCAGGGCTAGACCGTTCCTTGCCTGAGCAAAAGGCACGCCTGTCCGTCTTCCACCAACTGCATTGCCTGGTGAGTCGAAGCAAGTCGGGAACCATGACCGCAGAATCGCTGACAAGTAACCTCTACTTCCCAGCACATTGCAAGAGATGCCTTCGTCCACGCGCGGGACGGACATCTGGAAAGGGTCCGTGTGGACCACCTTTCTGACTGCTGGGACTATCTGCGACAGGGCATCATGTGCGCGGGCGACGCGACACTCGAATGGAAGCAGGCCAACGCGAGTGGCGGCGAAGGTTGGGGATATCAGCACATTTGTAAAGACTACACGCTGCTATTCATGTTTGCCGAGCAGTATCGCGCAACGGAGGAGCACTCGTTCCGTGGCGAGTATTGAGGGGACGATTGCCAATCACTGTTACGTAGAGAAAATGGCCTGACGCCGTCCATCTAGGACGGTTTTGCCGTAGTCCAAGTTCCTTTTTTTTTTTGCCACGAGATAGACGCTTAAGCTTCAGAATTGCACACCCAAACAAAAGATCTCTGACTTCTCTCTCCATTTCTTTGACACTACTTGGGTATGGATGATGATGTGAGTCATTTTGATGGCCATCAGACATGTCTGCCTGTGATAGAGGACAGCCCCTCTCCCCCCTCCCTCCCTCCGTGCATGGGTATTAGGCAGACACCAAAACAAGTGCAGCAATGACAACTCTCGAGATTGAGTTTGGCACCACCAGGCCTAAATATGCTTCCAATTAGCCGATGGGCCATCGTGCTAACAGTAAGCCCACTCCACTCCTTGGAGGACAGCATAAATCTACTCCATGTGTCAGCCAGCCCATCGTTCCACGGCCTATCCGACCAGCCCTCGGAGAAAGATCAGTCATAGGAAACACATCATGTCGTCCGTGGAGTCCATCCAGAGACTAAGCTACAGCACGGAGGCCGACAACGAGACAACCCGGTTTCTGAACCAGATCCATGAACAAGCAGCTTGGGGACGCGAGAGGCGCCGCTTGAGATGGGCTGCGTGGCTATGGTTCACGACCACTTTGCTCTTCGCCGGGTTCTCGATCTGGCTCACTGCGAGGCGTCCATTTACGAGCCATTTTGGATCGTTTGAGACGGGATACGCGACAGACTTTAGTAAGCCTTCGTCTCTTGACACCCCGTTCGTTCTCGCTCTCTCTCTCCTGTCTTCCCTCTTTCTCTCTGTCTACCACGTTTGCATTTTTTGTTCTGTCATTTCATCTATTCCAGTCGATAGTTTTTGTATTTTTATCGCCCGGATGCCCATAGGCTTACTTGATTCCCAATCATAGAAGCAGCAGCCGAGCACATCGAGCTACACGTCCCGACTTTCGAGGGGACCCCAGCCTTTATGGACGACGGGACTGAATACATACCTGGGCGAAAGGATGGAACGCAAAGACTGAAATTCACAGGCACGCCAAGCAGAGAAATCGACGTCAACTGGTACGATCTTCACTTGGGCGAGGGTAAGTACACGCATGACACAAGATCCTCCGGCGAAGCGTAAGTGCACGGTAGCTAACGAAGATGCCTGGATGCGATGTAGGTCACTTTTTCATCGTCACCGAGGATGAGGCTCGAGAGGCATGGGGTCCGGAATATGTGAAATACTGGGAACCAAGAGCAGGAGGTTACGTTGCCACGTATGTGTAGCACATATTCCTTTGTCATCGAAATCTGCGTCGAAGACGCTGTCTCGACTAACGTTTTCCTTCCCCCACAATCAGCGTCGAGGTCATGCACCTTATCCACTGTCTGGCAAGTGATACTCCCCATCCCCGACCGTGGCCCTTCTCCCCCATGTCGCAATGGCCGCCGTTGACACGATATACCTAGGACCACATTCGTAAAGCCTTCCATCCCGAGGCCTACCACGACCCGAATCCCGTCCATGGAATCATGCACAGGGACCATTGCATCGAGTCGCTGCTGCAGCTGCTGGTATGCACTGCAGACTTGACACCTATCCCATCCATGTATCGCCTCGGATTGGGAACAAATTACATCAACACGGACCGTCCACACACCTGCCGCAGCTTCCCCAAAATTGTAGACTTTGTGAAGAAAAGATTCAACGGCACTTTACGTGTGGAACCGTACGCTGAGGACGCCTGGAAGAATCAACCATAGGCCTGCGGCTTGTAGTGCGATGGTTTAGCTGAAACGTTATCAACGGCTTCATAATAACCTGGCACCAGCTATAAAAGATAGCTTTTGTTGTGTTCAGGTTTCCTTTTTCTCAGCTTTTAATATCTAAAAAGACAAAATCGTCACTAAAAAGCCTTAAAGCATCAATATGTATCCTGCTATTTTCTTACTATAACGGATGGAGGGTTTAATAGGTGATATTAAGCCAAAACCTATAGAGCAGCCTAGCCTTACTAACAAAATAATTACTAACCTAAAGATAAAATCTTCCTATAAATCACTTTTTACTATATCTACTAGGTTATAATTAGTAAATTCTAACTAATTCATAGGTATTACCTTTTCTTTTTTTTCTATTTAAGTTTTAAGCAAGAGACTTCTATAAACATTATTATCTTCAGCATTACAACCTAAGACACAGTATAAGTTTTTCCAGCGCTTCAGAATATGAACAGCACTTAGCCACACTAAAATTGAAAGTCGGAACCACCTTCTGGCATCTTGTATGTGCCGCCTAGGTTGACGAGATACGCAAGGCTGTTGAACTCGGTGTCAATAGTTTTAATAGCCCAACCTCTCATAGGACCGACTTTCTCAACGGTAAGGATCTGGATGCCCCTAACAGGCAACCTCGCCTCTCCAAAGGCAGCCGTCCACTTGAGCACGATCGTGTCGCACGTGACAACATCGACGGTCCGGAGCGTGACGGGCGTCGGGCGCCCACTCTGCCGCTCCAGAGCAGCCTTGAGCTCGTCTCGGTCGCGGTACGTCGGCGCGCCCAGCGGCTTGCCCGCCAGCAAATTCATGCCGTCGCAGCGGGCCACCACTTCGGGGGCCACAAGGCGGTCCGCCGCCGCCGCCGAGTAGTTGCGGATCAAGGCCTGGAAGTCGGTCGCCAGTTGGTACCCGTCCTCCGGACTCAGGCAGGTGGGGCTTGAAGATGACAGTGACAGCGCTTGTTGATGTTGTTGCTGCAAGACATCTTCCCATTTGAAACGTACGAAGAAACCCGTGGCCATTGAGAACAGTAGGGCAAAGAAAAGTCGGCGTGCCATGATGGTGGTGTGAGCTGCCGCTCTCATCAAACGCTCGTCGCCAATAGGGGCGGCTGTCGTCGACACGGCATAACAATGCTCCTCTCCTTCACGAGACCGAATGGTAGTTTCAGTTACAGCAATAGCGGCCCGGGTCTCCGCCCCCAACATAAACTCTGCTGGGACAGGAAGCATGTTCAAAAGCATAGACCATGTTCGTGGTGATCCCATGAACATTATGTGTCATCTCGAACGGTTCATGGCCATGTTATAGTTCCATACTGCATCTGGAGGAAATCTTGCTCGCCTCAAGCAGAAGTACTATTTTATTTGATTCGATGCTTGCTGAATGGTGGTCTTTCGGAGTTATAGTGCGCTCATAAGTAAATTATTCATGTCGCGGCTATTGCAAAGGCACATCTCAAACAATGGGGACGAAAAGACAGGGAGGAAGAAGCCTGTTCACGCATCATGCCCTATATGGCCACTAACCGCCGAGACATCGCGCAAGGTTGGTGTGTTTTGGGTTGTGTTGGGCGATATCTTGTTCGTCCATCGGGAATTAGTTACCTACCGAATTTTCCGCCTTTCTGGGTCTTAAACAGACTTCGCAGATTTGCCTTTGCGTCGCCTGACAACGAACACTTTGCCTTTCTGATGAGAAACGTTGTGTGTTACTTGGGTCAGCAAGAAAAGCTATCTCATCGGCTGCCACATGACACCAAAGAATACGTATCGAGTATGGCCCTAATTTTACCCCAAAAGTCCGAGAGAAAGAAGGTTTTGATTGGTTTAAACCAGTTCTTGGTGTATTCTCGTATATGTTAATTGGCTTTACTCCGCACGGGGGGGTTCCCGCTCGGCATGTGGCAGCCCACGAGATAGTTTCTACCTTAGGAAACCCCTGAGCCTTTAGTATTGAAACGGAATTCCGTGGTCGAAAAGAAGCCCTGAAATAATTAGCCGCAACCCCAGACAGGTTGTCGATCCATCCGCTTACGTACCCGACTGACCATTCTTACCAGAAAGGTATTTAATAAAGGCAGCGCTTACACGAATATCGCCTAGCGCTGCTAATACAGTGTGGCCTTGCAGCTATGAGGCTTTCCGTGCCTTTGGCAGCCATGGTTGGAGGAATAGAGGGGTCTGATCACATTCGACGTCGGAGAGAAGAGTAATCATGCGATTCTGCTACGCCAGGTCCAGCGGACTGTTGTATGTACATAGTATATGCAGTTATTACGAATCCCATCTTTTCTACCGCAAGACGACCTGGGCTTCTACTAATTGCCTTCCCCGCTGCGTCGATCATCTCAACTGAGCGGCCAGTATTGTGTATCAGTCATCCGACCCCGAATCACGGTCTATTAGTCAATGAACCGCGCCTCATTCTCCCCCTCTCTTGGTGCGTGTGTACTGAGAGGGGATATCGTAGGTAGCAATCATTGCCCAAAAACCATGATGCTTGAGCAAAGACGACGCCGTGGGGCCTGTCTTCTGTGCCGGGAGAAGAAGACACGATGTCCGTACCTACCTTCTTAATATGTTTGAACCAAAGGCTAAGAATAGGATGCATGCGCAATTCAGGCGACAAGAAACAGCCTTGTTTGACCTGCCAAGTGAGCCCGATTTCCTTTTCTTTTGTTTTGGTTGCTATTCTCACTCGTTAACCTCAAGAGCTGACACGATGCACCCCAACCCTAGCGGACTGGGCAACAATGTTTCTATCCGGATTACGCCTCCCGTCCACGTCGAAGACCCGCGTCTTTGCGGTCTAACTTTCTTATGTACGCTCCTAGCGACGGCTGCTTCGACCTCGGATACGGGCCCCCGCTCGGAGCTGGTGCCGACCACCGTAATTTCCTCACGGCTCATCCGCAGCTGATGTCTCTTCCTCGCCCACTTGCCGCGGGCATTGCCGGCCCAAGGCCTGAAATACTACAACAGGACGGCCGCAACCGTGGCCTGGAGCAGGCCTACTACCCATGCGACCCGGCCGATGGGCCCGACTGCCAGTTCCCGTTGCCATTCGTAGTCGACGAAGCCAGTATGGCCAATACCCTGGACTCAAGCGATCCACCTGTTGACATCATTCAAGAGGAACAGGCCACTCCATGGAGCTCCTCTAAGTCATTCGAGGGGGCCACCTCCGCCCTTAGCTCTACTGGTTCGTTGGATGATGACATGGAATGGGCGGTCGACTTGGGCTGGCCAACCTCCGAAGCAGGAACCCCCTCTCAGTTCCTCGAATCGTCCGTCACAACCGCCGTCGACGACTTGGAAAAGCCAATTAATTATAAGGCGGCTCCTCAAATTGTTTCCCCAGCGAAAAAACAACAGTCGATCGATATTGTTGTGGTCAGCGACACAAAATCCGAGTCCAGTGCACGCGTTAGTGCACCGCTTCCGCCGTCTTCCCCGGGCCGGCCTAAAATAAACGCATCTTCGCAGTCTTTCTACGGACTGCGCGACGCTGTCTACCGCTCGCTCGGCAACAGCCAACAAAATATTGTTCGTGCTCTGGCCGTCTCTGAAGATAACACGCCAGACGCTAGCAGAACCGCGAACCCAGTGCCTGCTGGCGAGTCGGATTCTTACGACGGCTCTTGGTGGATGCTCGAAAGTGATGCGGCTTTACAAGCGTATATTGCAGGCAAGTAAATTTGTGTCTAAAAGTGAAAGAAACGAAGACAAAATGAAAACTCCCTGTAGACCACGGTCTTTTCTTTCATATTAGTTGATGACGGGTTCAGACGCTGACATATGACACATCACAGCCTTTAGCGACTACTTTTACAGGTCTGTTTTATTTCTGCTGTCGTCGTGACGTGGCATCGTGACTATGTGACATGCATCCTGACTGTCAACGTTCCCAGTTTCATTCCCAAGGCCAACATCGAGGCACGGCTTAGGGAGGCCCGTCTCCCGGAAGCAAGCCACCTCGTCCGCGGTTTCGCAAGCGCTGTCATCGCTCTGGGCGCATACTATCACCGACAGCACGTATACGCCATTGTTACCGATTGCAGTGCTCAGAAGCAGAAGCAGAAGCAGAAGCAGAAGCAGAAGGAGAGTTCCTCTTGCTCACATAACGCTGAAGGCGGAAACCTCGAAGACGCCCGGGCATCGTGGCGTCTACGTGCCGCTCTTGCATTCCGCGGGTGTGTGCGAGGGCTGCCTAGTCAGCCGCTCAAACTCCAGGTCGGTTTCCGCCGGTAGATCCTGTAAAAGATGAAGAGGGAAGATATGTCGTGAAAAGTGTCGTGGTCGTAGTTGATAAGCACCTGAGCTGATGTCTTGGTCCAATGTTAGGTGTCGTTGCTGATGGTCAGTTAACTCTACTGAGCCCCTTTTTGCTCGTGCATCTTGTGCACTGCTCTCCTTCTTTACTGACAATTCCTCGCTACCGTCAGGCTTCTATTGCCAGCGAGTGCAATATACCATCTCTTGTCACCGAGAATGTGGCAATCGCCGTCATGCATGTTCGCGAACTGGACTTGGCACAGATTAATCCTGACGATGAGGAGTCTGTTCTCAGCTCGGCTTACTCGTATGTGCTTGACGTGTCTTACGCTCTTAACCGAGGAGCACCTCCGGTAAGCCAGTCTACTCTCAATCCCGACACCGCAATGTGCATTCATATAAACAAAGCTGTGTTTCTCCATGCGTCTCACAACAAGAAATTTCCGGGAGAGATAGACCTTCACAGATAAGCAACATCTGGACCGTAACGTTGACGTCTTTTCAGATGCTCGATTGCGACTGGGTGGATGGTTCGGGCCCTGTAAGCCACAGATCCGAAGAGGACCTACTGGGCATACGGTCACTGGCGGCTGTGATGCATCGTTGTTTGAGGAGGCAGTTCAGTCCCCGGGCGTCTTACGCGTACTCTTCAGCGGCGGTGACTGGCGGCGGCAGAAGGCAAAGCCATTGGAAGTCCCAGGAACAGCTGCGATACTGGGTCGAAGCCTTCCCCGACCTGAACTTGCGGATCACGCCTGGTAACACCGGCTGTCTGCCCACCAGCACCGCACGCATGGCCTTCTGCATGTATCACCGCGCTGTCTTCCTAACAAATTGCCCGTGGATTGTTGCCGCTGCTGAGTTTGACGCTGAGCCCATGTCCGAGCATGACGGAGACGGGGATCAAGATGCTCTTGGACATGGGTGCTGCATTCGGACGTGCTTGGAATCGGCCCAGCAGGTGATTGATGCCATCCCTTGCTTTTTCTCCCAGTCGTCGTCCGGCACAAAGCTCGAGAGGTACGCGAAAACCCCAAGTTCACCAACTTTGTTATTGGATGAGCTGACGCACGGTTTCGATCCCAAAGGCAGACAGTGGAGGACCTGGTGTTAGCTAGCCTATTCCTTATCATCTACTGCAAGGTCGATAGGGAAGTTCCAGGGGAGCATAGACGAAAGGCGGTTGCACTGGGCGGGCTATGTCACGGATCCCTGGCCCGTATAAGCCTTGACGAGAACGATGCCAAGAGCGACGGCGATGGCGATGGCGTTGACAACGGTCACGGCCATAGCGGTCACCACCCGACTCTTGAGCGATTTAGTTTGCTCATGTCAATCGCCGATCGCTGTGATCCCACGTAGGGTGAAGAGATCATGTAAGCTACAATGATCAAAAATCGTTGAACAAAGCCCGGATTCTATTGGATTTGCTTGAGCTGATCTGACTTCTAAGTACCAAACCTGTGTCACAAGCGTATGCTAACCTCTATTCAGATGAAACAAAAACACCTCGCTATGGAATTTGACTTCCGAACCTTTCCGCAGCTATGACTCTTAAGCCGGTGTCGTGGTGTTGCTCGGAGCCGCACCACCGCCACTGCCACCTGATCCACTCAAAGAAGGGCTGTTCTCCGTATCAATTCCGATCGTGATATAGCCAACCATGCCATTTCGAATATCAACTCCGTCCAAGGGAACAATGTCGATGACAGGGTTGTAGCCGTTGGCGAATCCCTCAGAGTAGACAGAGTCGACGTCATTGGTAGTGCGGTTGATCTCAGTGTGCGACACATAGGGTTCGAGAGCCATGATTTCCTGGGAAACCGTCTCGTTAAAGTACAGCTGACCAATTGAGTTGGTTTTTCCTGTCTTGACGGTGCCGTTGCTGGTGACGACCCAATCGGTGAAAACTAGTAAGGCATTGTTAGCACCAATCTCGACGTCAATTATTCTTCAATTTACCTTGCGCGTGAATGTGAATAGAGCGCTGAATGTAAAAGCCAGGGAAAATCGTCTTCATCTCCAGAATACCATCGTCGTTGGTGGGCCACATTCCACGCAGCCATGTAGTGTCATCGGTATGCAAATCCGTAGTACCAATCTCGAAGTCGGTGACATTCAGTGACTCAAGGAGCTCACGGAAATCCGTATTAGGATCACGGCCCGTGAAACTCGAATAGCTTCCCGTGGCGTTGCAGTGCCAAAACGCAACAAGCGCGTTTGGAAGAGGCTCGCAAGTTGCCATATCAATAACACCGACGTCAAGGGTGAGAGGAACTCCAATCTGGTCTTCGGTCATATCCTGACGCAGGGTCTCTGACCGGGGCCAATAGTAAGGCCCGGCGGTGACATCGGGCGCGAGGACGCAGGTGTTGTTCTGAAGATCTTCGTAGTACGGAGCCTCGGTCACGATCGTGACGCTGCTGTTGCCGGATCTGCGCTCGAGGTTGGCGGCTTCTTGGCGCTTTTGGAACCGCTTCTGCTTGAAGGCCGCGGACCCAGCAGCACAACGCTTGGAAAGGTTGGCATGGCGCTTGATCACACCAGGAGCGGCCTCCTTGTGGGCGACAACGGCGGAGGCCAGGAGGCCAATGGACGCGAGCGAGTGCAGTTTCATCTTGGTGGAAGAGAGAGTGACGGAAAGAATGTGATCGCCGTTGTTTGAAAAGATTGGATGACGAGGGTAGAGATGTTTACAAAACAACAACCACGCCCTTATTTGTATCAAGCTCCTTTTGATTCAGTGATAGCTGCTCTTCCCCTTTCACAGCCAGCTAGCTGGCCGCGGATCACCCGTCGGGGTGAAAATTCCCATTGCGCCCCTTTCCTCTGGGCGACGCGGTCTTCTCCGTTTTCCCCAGTCTCCACGCATCGATGTCCAATGCCTGTTCCCCTATCAAACCTACCGATACGCGTCACCAAGAGCAACCCTTGGGAGGCTGAAATATTCATAGCCTAGTCCAGAACACCTAACTCATGTACCAACAAATCAGAGTCGATCTAATTCACCCTGGTACGTAAGCAAGGAGGAATGGTTGGTTGATCCAAGGAACAGCTACATTATGAAAACCAGTGAAAGATCCTGAATACAGACCCCTCAATATCTAGCAAGCCCTATCCAATATTGTTTTGACGTCAAGTTCGTGGAAGCTGACGAGGCTGTCCCTACAACCCCACTGAAATCGGGATGTGGGCGTTCGGAACCCAACTTCAACACCACCGCCCCCGTCGTGTCGATCTTCGTAGGCATGACTGAGAAGCCGCCGAGAATTCCCATGTCTAGTGTGACATCGGCTGGGAGATGAGTAGGAACAAGTGAAGGCGATGGGATTTTGAGCTCGCTTGAAAGGTGCACCAAGAGTGCTTTATTCATGTCGTTCGGCATCGCCGCTGACCCATCGGTTCAAGGCGCTTTGGTGATGGAACTCATTGGCACCCCCAGGATTGCACTGCATTCATTGATCAGTTACTCTTTGAACGAGGACTTGCAGTCGTCGAGCTGATGTTACCGGGAATGCTATTCTTAGGCCCGTCCCTTTTGCGGGGGCTTAATTATGCGGAGGCCCCTGTGGAGTTCGATCTGGCGACGCGTGTCTATCCGAATACAAATACTCGGATTCGTATCGATATCTACCACACCTTGCGGAAAATGTCCGCCACGTTGTGCAACCCTTGTATCTGACCAAAAGTTCGTACAGTTATCTCTTCGAGTTTGGATGAAGTAACTATTGAGTGATGACACTGTCTCATGGCGTTGCAATGCCATTCGCCTGAGCAATCGTTCCTATAAGCATGAGAATGCAAGCAATAGTGCCGAAGTAGAGAGCGCCATAAATCTCATCGCCCGGGGTTTGCTCAGACACCGTAACTCCGACTCATAGAAATCTATGCTGACGGTATGCTCCGGCCCCACCGGGTGCAAGCTCCGGTCGGGGGATTTGAGTCGCTCGGCGTCGTGGTTTCCGCCACATCCTGGAGAGTGGCTTGAGCTCGGACTCTTATCCACGTCCAACGAGCGAGATAGATAAATTGAGACACCTGGACTGTCAAAGACCGTGTATTGATTGATCCGCACTGCCAGTTAGACAGCATCACAGGCTACTATCGACGGCTTGGTTTTCGCTTGCGTCAGACTTGAGGTGGAATTCAATTGAAGATGGAACAAGAAGGAAGAAAGCATTAAAATAATTAATGTGTTAAAACTGCAAAGTTCCCAGGAATCAGGCATAATTCCTCGTGAAACTCGTCGGCAAGGTCGGCAACGGCTCAAGCGTGGCATCCCGCGTGTCGCGAGACCACAACCAACAGTAACTTTGTCGTCAGACTCACCTGTATCAACAAGATAGATACGAACGGGGAGCATGCAACAGTTGTCATCAGACCTCGAGCATTGTTGATGATGGATAAATCGATGGGTGACTTACAAGTGGCCCAGCAATATTTACAATACGCTGTTCATCCTGTCTGGATCCTACCAAACAATGCGCCGTAGGACTACATGATCCATCTTATGATATTGAGTTCTGGGCACCTCCTTCTTCACTACGTGGAAGAATTAGAACTGAGTGCCAACTCATCATATTGTTTAAGTCAAGACTCAACGAATCAATCTGCCCTGCAACACCTGCTACACCCAATAACACATGCCCATCAGTTCTCTCTAGCCGGCCGACAATCACACGGTTACCTTATCCGTGTGATGGTGAGTAAGCAGACCCTTCGCAGAACACGAAGATTGGTTCAGTACTCGCGGTTTTGTCTTAGAAATCAACCCAGAGTTCAATGACTATGAAACACAGAGCGACCCCTGGAGCAACTAAGTACAGCTACATTTATTCGAACGTTCTCTTCGACAGATTATTTCTTCGGAACACCTCGATATACTGCAGTTCTAATCAGACCCATCAAATGATTACACACCATGAACTGAACCATTTGTTTTTTTACGAGCGCTGCTCATACCCCCGGAATGATGCGAGTCATAACAGATGATATCAGAGAGGCAATGAGATTGTACCAAAGCCAGGTTATAACGACCAAAACTCCTCGTCATCAATGTCGGCACGAGCAATGCCAATGGCAATGGCCAGGTCGACCGCGCTTATAAGCTCATGGGCGGCATCGTTAATTGCACATGACGTGCTGATGGGATGAGCCAGATTTGCGTCATCCTATGGACTCTAGTGAAAACGAATCGCTCTGTCGGCAGCGAAAAGCCTCTTGTCGAGGTTGCAGATTCCCCGCTTCACACCTATACCTGAAGCTGACACAATTCCCGATCTAGACTGGAAGGAAGTCGAGTTTACAAATTCAGCCGTAACTGATGCTGGAAAGCCTACACCAGAAATATGGGAATGTGTAAAGGCCAAGTCGCCTTAAGATGAAGCTATATAATACTGTGAGAATGACCGAAGTATTGACAGAGTGGGCTTCCAGCTTAGGTAAGTATTTTACACGATCCGGAACAGATGAACCGCACCGGATCGCACCAACAAACAACTTTGGCGGTGTTGATTATTGTCACGATACTATCGATGGGCCAGCGGGCTCCCTCATCATGAACTCATTCTCTACCTTCATGGTATCTGCAGAACCTCACAAGTCTAGCTGGAGAGCTCACCACTGACAGCTTGTGTTAGATTCTTTGAAACTCCCGTGCAGCCATACGTTGAGTAGCACACAATTTGATTGGGCCCGCGTCTGTATAGGAACTTGAGTGTTGCCGAGATTTCTGATATTTCCCTGCTTAGCGGGGACGATGTCATGGGCCTTATCAGGAATAAAGATAACATGAATGACCGATCAATCATATCAAAGGGGATCACAATGCTAAAAGATTCCTGTTCTGCAAATGTTCGTTAGTATTTCATCAACGGACTAGCTCCAGAAAACGTTCAACATTTTCAAAGACTTCATCAACGATGGAGTTAGCAGTACCATCACCAATTCCAAGAACTTCGTTCAATGGTAAGTCGTCATTAATGGCTGACTTGCTTAATAACAGCATGTTCAACATCTTCGAGACTGTAAGAAGATGTGTTAGGCGATATTGGCACATTCAGTCGAAGATTGAATTGACATCCTGGATCCTACACGAGTGCGGTCAACCACAGCAGAATGACTTGCGGCTTACATGGTTGGCGGCATGATCGGCTTCAATGGCGGAGCTATATCTGCCACAACTGCTGCCATATCCTGGGAACGGCGTAAGCAAGTCCATACCTCGCATATGGATTGCGATTATGATCGGTTTGAGGTTATTCACGCCTGCAGTGACTTGTACGGAAACACTCCGGGTGGCCTGACAAAAGAAGATATCGTTACAGGGCACGTCGTAATGACATGCAAGGGCAGACGGATCGAGATGCGGTACATAAGGTTGCAAGACTGAATTAGGGCGTTCACAACCTTCAAACCCAATGGCGATAGGAACAGAGGCTGACCCTTGTCGTCCTGGTGAGCCCCTGACGATCAAGCCAAAGCCAACGTCATGGTGGTTGTGTCCACCAATGTAAGGGCACCTGGAGTCTAAAGTCTGTTCATGCGCGACTACTGAGAGGTATGAATGCATCACCGGTGCGTCCGTAACAAGCCTAACAAGGAGCCATCTGACCTACGTTACGCTTTTCCCTGCAGTCCTGTCGAAGGCTAGGCTAGTCCAAATCTAGTTGGAACGGCCGAGCAAGGATAGCTAGAGAAGACGGCGGCGACACAATAATTCACGAAGAGTTCATTGGTTATGTCTGGGAGAAACGAAAGCTGCAGCTGAAAAAAATGGATTCGTATAGTTGAGCTTAGTGAGAGAAGATCTGAGATCCACTTATGCTTAGGAGGCTTCCCATAATACATCGAAATCAATGTGCTGTCAAATCCAAAGAAAGGATTCGTGCCGTAGGACGCTTTCAACAAAATACGAGAGAGTAAAACTAAAATGCTTGATTTCAACAATGCTGATTCCTGTTCTATCGCTTTAAATCCGAGGCCGACGAGCCGAATGCCTCCTCGGCGGCTTGTGCCGAGGCCGAGTCAGGTGCATCCCCAAGACCAACGCGCCCTTCAGTGGCCCTGAACATCTGAACAAACCAATCTGTGGTCTGTGACTGAGCATTCCTAGAGATTCTTCCAATGATTGCGTATTCGCTACATTTTTGGCTCATTTCCTGGGATTCAGATAGACATTCAGGTCACCCTTGAGCCACAATGTGTAAACCTCCTCCTCGTCCTGCCACTTCTTCGAGTCTTCTGCAATCGTGAGATCGAAGTTGTACAGGACTCTAGCCAAGATGATCCTCATTTCAACGTAGGCCAGGCTGGTAAAGTAAGTTTGGTAACTAGATGCTTTGGCTAAGAAGTCGCAACTAAAATAGACCATAGACCCAGGGTAGAGCTTACTTCTTTCCAATACAATTCCGCGGCCCGAACGAGAACGGTTGAAGCGCATCCTTGTTGTCATTGACGAAGCGCTTGTCGCCAAGCCACCGCTCCGGGATGAACGAATCAGGGAGGGTAAAGTTTCTGGGGTCGCGGAAGATGGCGTAGTGCCAGACGCCAATACTGGTCTGTGGAGATTCTGGTAAGCTGTCAAGTCAGGGAAGCGCTCTATTGGACTTACCCCGTGAGGAACAAACTTGTCACAGATGACATCTCCGCCGTCACACACGCGCCTCAGATTCGCGTTAGGTGACGGGGGATGCAGGCGCAAGGTCTCATCGAGCACAGCCAACATGTAGTCTAATTTCTGGACGCTCACGAAATCAATATCACCTTCTGAAGAGAATGATCCCCGGACCTCAGCGACAAGCTTCCGCAGGACTGGAGGATTCATTGCTAGTAGGTATGTTGCAGCGGAGAGCGCAGTTGCCGTAGTTTCAGACCCGGCCCCGATGAGGATATTAGCGTTGTCGTAGATTTCCTCCCGGCTCATGGTCTGTACGAAATTAGACGCCGGGGTTCTTTGCTGTCGAATCGCATGAAATTTGGGCAATGTTTGAGAATAAAGCAACTTACCAAGTCTCCCTTCATCGTCATTGCCTGAATGAAATCAGGCCTAGGCGTTGCCAAGTCAAGTCTCTTGTCAACCTTTGCGTAGGTCAAGTCCAAGTGCTCCTGCGCTTTTCTCTTGACCGACTCGGGTATCATTGCCTTCAGCAACGGCGCGAGTACCGCATACCTTCCAATCAGCCCAAGTAGCGCGTTCTGCTTGACGGCGCCGAAGATTGCCGAGACCCACGGATGATAGTCGCTGTTCTGCAGACACCCAAAAGGCTCCCCAAACGCAAGGTCGGAGATAATATCGAACGTGCACCAGTTGTACCAGCTTACCATGTCCAGCTTCCGCGTGCCCCCGTCTGCGTTCTCATGCAGTCGCTGGATTAGAAGGTCGACGTACTGAGTTATAAGCGGCTGCTGGTTCATCATAGCTTGTGCCGAGAACCCATGCGACAGGAGCCTTCGGAAACGGCGATGGTCATCGCGGTCGGCGCCAATGATGTTACTGCGGAAGGGGGCATGGAAGATTGGATCCTTTGAGTGTTCTGCTTGCCCTTGTTTGCGGTGCCCGAAGATGTCTTTCCAAGCGGATGGGTCCGTATATGATAGTTGGGCTGGGTCGATGCGGACGACGGGCCCGTATTGTGCATGGAGTTCAGCGATGTGTTTGTGAGGCTGCCCTGTGACTATCATCCAGGCATAGTAGAGATCGCTGGAAGCAGCTAATTTTGGGCCCGGGTAGTGCCGTAGAGGATGTAGAAAAATGTTGTAGGCGACTCGTGCTATGGCGTATCCAATGGGCTGGTAATGGCATGTGTCAGATGGTCTCCTTTCGGTATGGGGTATTTTCGGCCATCACATACGAGGAACACGAGAGCAACCAAGAAGTTTCCCCACGTAAATCCGTGACGAATGTCATTGCCGAAGAGGGGGGTGAGGGAAGGCATACTATTCAGCGATATCCTGCGTAAAGCTGTACTTTCCCCAATCGGCTTCTCTACACGATTGTATTTATATCCTGTATAGTATGAGTGCCTTTAGGACTGACTTTGCCCAAGTGGTGTTTGCTGCATCGGATGACAGGCGGACACCGAGAACATGTTCCTTGTCCGAATGCACGAGTCGTAAAAAGAACTCTCCGCTCAGCTCCAGCCTTAGATTGCGATGAAGCCGTCTATCAACAGGATAGTTGGGCTTTCAAATACGAATGCGTCTACTTGCCCAAGGTCTTGCTGTAGATGAACTCTTATCAATGGTTTGTGGACCCGTGTCGGTGCGTCTTTGTGGATCAGAATCGGCGTGGCGGATGCTTTTGAGGCCCGCAAAAGATCCCGCCTTGACAAATATACTGACCTCGAGATTCATGAATTGAAAGAATAGAGGCTCAATACCACTAAATGATGCCAAACGCGCATCTGTAATATGGCTGAAACTCCACTGCCTGTTATCTCAAAGTCCGTCGGTGTGGGGTCATTCTCAAAACCCGGAATCGACTCTATCCTCAAGCATTGTTCATCATTCTACGAAGCCAATAGCAACCTATCAACGATGATGGAGACATCAGCCCGTATTTTCTATATCTGAAGTTATCTTAGCTTGGGTTCCAGAATGATAGCTATTCTAATGGAGAGGTGGGAAGTATCGTTGTGAGCATCCGCGCATCTGAGGTAATACACAGACCGTTTGACTCAGCTCAACCGAGACCTGAACGAAACTTCACGCTTGCCATCTTCACTGTGCGGTACTCACTGCAGTCATCCAGATCTAGAATTTTGAACCGAAAAAGGTGAAAACTCTAGATATCTTCGTTATCTCATATGATGATCCGCGGACGCTATTGTCTTCAAAAGCGCATGTGAGCATTCGGCGGTGAAAACAAGACGCCAAACTTGATGACGCACGTGCTGCAGCTCATCTTGCATTAGCGACGGATTGTTAGGCGTCCACTTCCGGTGGCGCAACATCACCGTCTTTGTTTGGCCCAGGAAATTCAAGTTTTGAGCTTCCTGTGTGATCGAAACTTTTAACAGACCACTTACGATCTCGATGAGAATACGAATGCCATGTGCAAGACTAAATGCCGAAATTGAGAATGTGTTCTGGGATGTGCTGAATCCTGAGCAAGGGTAATAAGTTATCACGTTTTGAACCTTTGACCTCAGATCTGGATCGAACCATCGAAAAGAATTAGTTCTAGGACCAGCATTGACGATATGCCACCCATGGGAAATGCAATAGCATCCAAGGGAACCTGCATGTAGATCAACAGTCGTATGATGCCTCTTATCGCGATGCTTTGCGCCGCGGCCAGTTCATTGGACAGGAAATTAAAATAGTTCCGTCCGGGAAGTCTGAGCTAGAAAGCCCATCAAAGGCATCGAAGGCAGGAATTGTTATTGCAGTGAAGCGCCTCGTTCATTTAGCGAAAAGCAAACGACACACATGGCCAATTGCTAAATTCCCATATTGGAAGACGACGACGCGTGTCGCAGAAAGCAAACAATAGTAGATCGAGATTGCCGCGTAAGGCAGGTAGTCGTGTGCTATGGAAACTTTGTTAGGGTGGACGCTAACTAAAAGCTGAGAGCGACGATGTCAGCTAAGCCCTGGCCTGCAGCCGCCGCCAGCGAACTGGTGAATCATCGCAACCTCTCCAGGAGTTACGCGTTTGTTACCTCCACCCTTTGGTGCTCGCGTAAATAAAATGTTATAAGCTTATATCGTAGCATAACATTGAAGATCACGAGTGTTCTGGATGGGTAGGGTGAACCGCCCGCACCCCGGCATTTTATCTCCGAGGTACCGATCCGAGGTGCCGAGTGGGTCCTCGATCACCGGCGCCGCACCCGAGTCAGATGACACGAGGAGCCGGCATAGGCCCCGCCGAATAGACATGCAAGGGGCGGATACAGCCGCCGGCGACTTCTCGAAAGCTTGAGCTCACACGGGCATCCAGTCAACTCAGCATTCAGGCTCCTAACAATCGAGGAAATACGCGCCCGTTCACAAAAATGCCAAACCGGCTCACCGGTGTTGTGGGGGCCGCTTGTGAAGTATGAGCTTATTGACGGGCCACGGCTTTCGCTAGCCAGGAACCAGCTGCATGAGTGTGTCTGAATCTTATTTTCGGTGCACACGCAGACCAGTCCCGTTCGTGGATATCCTAGAATCATCGTGATGTTCCTGGTTTGCTACCAGGATTGAGTGAATGATGGAGATTGAACATCGGGTCTGGCCGGCTATAATGGAGAAATGCTCAGTTGCATCGGCACGTCTAGAGATGTCACCGGCAATCCGTGCCGAATTGAATTCCGGATCATCCCAGGGCACCGACAGATGCGTAAGTGCTAAGGCTACGATAACACTAAAAAACAAACTAAAGACCAAAAACATACAACACCGGGCATTCGCCGGTCGTCACCGACCCGACTACTACTCCAGCCCTCATTGGCTTGTCTATGGGAGAGCGGACGGGATCCCGAGTTTTCCAATGGGTATGGTCGTATGTGACCGACACACAAGCACAAGCCAACTATGGAGGCTTGGGCGGCGAGGAGAAACAGCACACCATCGCGACAGCACTCGTTTCACGTGTGTAAACAGCCACCTCACACGAACACAGCCACATTTGACGTACTATGTAGAACGCAGTGAAGGAAGTTCAACAAAGCATCTTGAGAAAGTACGCAGATGGTGGGAGGGTGGTCACTTCGCATCAATGGCTTTGACGCCACCTGTGTTTCGGCCGTCGTGTTTCTGCCAATTCCAGTAAAGATCCCAGGCAAGAAGCTGAACGATGCTGTTGGCGACATGGCAAGATATTGAATAATCCGAGAAAGTTGCATTTCCGAAGTTGTGTGTGGGGCGTGATGTCACGCTCGCGTAATATCTTTCGTCTTTGGCGTACTCTACCATCCCATACTTCGACAATCATCCCCTCTAGAGGACCGAGAGCATCTAGCAAGAACCATCAGTAGAACCCGTTGCGAGAGGAACAGGAGGAAAGACACAGAAGGGGTGCAAAAGAAAAGCTAGTCGGGGACGAAAGATTGTGGCGACTTCGACCAACTCCAAGCTTGGGCAATCATGGCAAACCTTCCGTGCCGTGAGCTGAAAGAAGAGCTGATAATCACGCACCACACACGCCCGTAGGTGTCATTGGCTTGAAAGAACTCAGGTCCATGGGCACTTAGAATCCATGCTGTCATGTCCGCACGTTCTGAGTTGCCCAGAGGCCGCCCACGGAGCTGCTTTGGTCGAAGTCAAGCCATCTGGAAAGCGGGATGAGGCGCCGTACTTCAACGGCTTTCGGGTCGTTGGTCGGATAGAGATATCGGATGTCTCGAAAGATACGAGATGCAGAGTTTTACTACACCATGGTCAGAAGAAGCAGGCTCATCGGCAGGAGGAAATTACACGTTTGGAAAAGGTTAAGGCTCCTGCCGCGGTCAGATACCCTATGTCTCGATGACAGGTCATCCAAAATGTCGGGCATAGCGAACGCGAGCTTAATGGCACGACAGTTTAGATGTATCTCCGCGGCTGTGCGATGGTGCGTCTCCGCGGGAACATCGGCATGTTTTCGTTGAAGAAGTGATGGATTTCATCTAGGTTTCTTCAGTGAACCGTGTTTTGTGCTTTGGCTAGAAACGTTGAATATTCGATGAAGGAAAAGTGTTGCTGAATGGGGTCTGAGCAGAAATCAACGCACAGAGAAGTTGGTCGACGACCTGCATACAGAGAGACTCGAAATATTCGGCAGCCTCTTCCGTGTCGGTGGCCTTCTCGAACGATAATTATCCGGGGCACTAGCGATTCATTCTAGCGTGAAATTCGCGGATTCTGGTCCGGCGGACTGAAACCATTCACGCCTGCATCTGGCGAATCGGAACTCATCATGACTCTCAGCTAGCACTGAGCACTTGCAGCCTCTGTGCACACGGCACAAATTCCATAGAAGATTTGTCGGCTCGGGATGTGCGTTCCGCTGTTCCTGGAATTACGAAATGACGTCAAATTGGGGTGTCCGGCAGTAGCAATGTCGCCAATGTCATTGGTGTATCACAACATCAGATGAGACCAGGCACCATCTCCTCTGCTATCAGATCTCGCGTCCGTGTGACCCCTTTCCGCTTTCGCTCTCCTGGCCTTTTGTTTCGCGGTCAAATCTTTCGACCTTTCTTCATGCCAAGAGATGGTCCCATGAACACAGCCTCGCATTGAGGTGGCGAGTCATTTCATGGACCATCATCTGATGGTGGATGGTCACATCCAACACCAACCGTAACATCATCATCGCATGGTATTGGCATCGCGATGCATTGATTGACCCAGCCTTCAGTCCGATTACCAACAATTCTATCATCCATTGTGAAATGCAGCCTGTCATGTTGTTTTCTTCATGCGGTGCGCGAAAGACAGTCTTGGCACACGAAATCACAGCGTCAAATTTCGAATGATGGCAAACATGTTCTTGGAAGAGTCATTGAGATCCGAACTGGTAGTGTAGGCCCGCGGAAAGGCATAAGAATTTGGTCAGTGGAAAACGATTCATCATTGACTATGATGTGATTATCAAAAGCTGAATGAGGCTCTTTACTCGGCTGCATGTGGGTGGACTCCGCCACCCCCGCGATCTATCACGAAGAGGGGATATGTTGCGCTCCCCAGTCTAGCCCCTCCGTTACTAGACCTTCGACCTCACCGAGGCTCATGCTGCACTTTCGCTACCCTACTTCCCTGGTTGCCCCATCCGGCGATTCCCCACGCGACATCCACAGCGGCAAATCTCTCGGGCACTAAGATCTTAGACAGAAACAAGTGCGCGGAAGCCGCGCTCCACAGGATGTTGACATGCTGATTATCAAGCAGTTTGGTGCTCAACATCTAGCCCACATCGCCAAGAAAACGGGATGTGGGCTCATTGGTGTTTTGCCTGAAGGGACTG